AACGACAACTACATCTACATCACCACCAACAACAACGACAACAACTACATCTACATCATCATCATCAACACCACCACCACCCACAGGTTCCCACCAGCCATCAACTACCACTACGGCACCCGCCACTTCAACCCTCACCAGAAGAACACCAAGGAGATTGGGGAGTGCGTGGTGTCTGTCAGCACGGCCAACGGAGGTACGTCCTTGAGCTTGTCCATTTGTCTGTCTGTGTGTCTGTTTGTCTTTTTGTTTGTTTGTTTGTTTGTCTATTTACTTGTTTTGGGCAGTCCTTTAGCTCAGTTGATATCAGGCTGGACTGTAGAGCAGACGGTCCTGGTTCGAGTTCGAGATCGGGGGTTACAATGTTTCTGTTCACATGGCCAATGAAAGTACCCCCTTTCGCTTGTTTGTTTGTTTACTTGTTTGTTTTTGTCTTTTCGTTCGTTCGTTCGTTTGTTTGTCTATTTACTTGTTTTGGACAGTCCGTTAGCTCAGTTGGTATCAGGCTGGACTGCGGAGCGGATGGTCCTGGTTCGAGATAGAGGGATGTGCGTGGTGTCTGTCAGCACGGCCAACAGAGATACGACCTTCAGCTTGTTCTTTTTGCCTAGTGCAATTGTGAGGTTGCAGGTTCGGGGTTCGAGCCACGGACCCGACGTTGTGTCCTTGGGAAAGGCACTTTACACACATTTTCCTCACTTCACCTAGGTGGGAATGGGTACCTGGCCATAGACAGCGAAAGATGTTGTTAGTATGTTAGAGTGTTAGCGCCTATAAACGGCTGCTTGCACTGTATGCTTCCCAGGAAGTTGAGGTTGTTTCAGAATGCTCTCAGCTGGGGTAATAATATAGATTGTGAAGCGCATAGAGCTTGCTGTTTAGCGGGGGCTTGCGCTCTACAAATGCCATCTATTATTATTTGTGGACCTGTTTGTTTGTTTGTCTATTTACTTGTTTTGGGCAGTCCGTTCGCTCAGTTGTTATCATGCTGGACTGCGGAGTGGATGGTCCTAGATGATGGTGATGATGATTGATGATGATGATGATGATGATGATGATGATGATGATGATGATGATGATGATGATGATGATGATGATGCAGCTTCTAATGATGATATTGATAATGATAATGATAATGATGATAGTGGTGCAGCTTCTAATGATGATAATGATGATCGTTATTTCCTCCATCCCCACAGCGTGCCGAAAGCCTCTCACCGGCCAGTCCTCCAGCTCTTGCTCCTGTGCTGTGGGTCGGACCTGTACCTTCACACCCGCCAACCCCATCATGGGTGAGTGTTGTTGTTGGTGGTGATTGTTGTTGTTGTTGTTGTTGTTGTTGTTGTTGGTGGTGGTGGTCGTTGTTACTGTTGTTGTCGCATTTGTCGTGGTGGGGGGGGGGGAGAGAGAGAGAGAGAGAGAGAGAGAGAGAGAGAGAGAGAGAGAGAGAGAGAGAGAGAGAGAGAGAGAGAGAGAGAGAGAGAGAGAGAGAGAGAGAGAGAGAGAGAGAGAGATAATTTGTCCAGATTAACGAATTTTTTCCTTTTGATGTTTAAAACATACTTTATTCATTCATTCATTTCAGATTTCCTTCATTAGACGTTCACTCATTCATTCATTTATGCATTCTCTATTTTTGTAACACAGGTACCTGCCAGTAATAGCAATATTACTATTTTTTATGACATCGGCTCATGCTCATCAATTGAACCGGAAGTAGTGATTGGACAGCAGACGAGGTGCAATGAGGCAAAAACGAAGACGGGAAATGAATTGTTTGACTTCTGCTACGTATTGAACGTCGTTTCCAGCTACCGGACGACCAGCATGGCACTAGGCGCCATCTGGTGGAATCGTCGTGTCTTAGACAAAAAATAAACAGTCAAACTGAAAACAACTAATCTTCGGAATCACTTTATTGTTTATTTATTATTCGTTGATTTATTTACTTTTTCGTTAAAAAAAACAAAATGATTACATGATTTCCTTTTCGATCCTCATCTATACAGTTTCACCATCTCTCTCTCCCTCTCTCTCTCTCTCACACACACACACACACACTCACACACACATAGGGAAAGCGAAAGGGATAGAAAGACAGGTTGATATATAGATATATGTAGAGAGAGAGAGAGAGAGAGAGAGAGAGAGAGAGAGAGAGAGAGAGAGAGAGAGAGAGAGAGAGAGAGAAAGAAAGAGAGGAGCAGAATAGAACATATCTAGGCGGGTGGTCGAAGGGTGCTACTTAACTGGTAGAAGGTCCTAATTCTTTACTTTTCCTTGTCTGTTGTTTCTGTTTATATAGACAATCTCATTAGACAATAATATTTTCCTAACACAAAGCATGTAGACGACCGTGCATGGATCGCTTAAGTAAGGAAATAGTTGACCCCTTATAGTGTATCTTTTCTTATGATTATAATTATATTAGTTTAAAAAACATTTCGTAAGAGTTCTAGAAGGCATGGAACATGAATAGACCATTTAAGCGCCAAAGATCAGAGGTGCTTCAAGAGAGTAACATACAAAGAAAAGAAGGAAGATAAGGACGATAGATGTTTGATGGGAAAGAAGGAGCAAACCACACAAGAGCACCAGCCAACCACCCACCAAAAAATTGCTTTTTAAAATAGTATAAGTAAGAGTTTTACGGCACTTGCAACACAATAAGGTCATATAAGTGCCGAAGATTAGAGTTGTTACAAGAGAGTAACAAACACAAAAAAGGAGGGGAGATCAGGACGATAGATATTTGATAGGAAAGAAGGAGCAAATCACATCAGAGCACCCGCCAACCACCCACATACAACAATTTCTCACCCCCCCCCCCCAAAACAGGCAACAAAACGTGTAAAAAAAAGACCAGCAGAACATTTTTGTATAATATATCTATAATCTTTTTTTATTGGTTTATTCAATTCATATTTAGAATAGTTTGAAGTAACTACACATTGCCTTATAGAGCTCATCAATATCTTACACTATAATACAAGATATCGAAACCATGGATAGACGCACATTAATTCATGACCATGCAGCAGAAAAGAATATAAAACTGAAAATAAGAGGGATATATACTTTGTATGTGTGTGTGTGAGAGAAAGAGAGAGAGAGAGAGAGAGAGAGAGAGAGAGAGAGAGAGGGAGGGAGGGGGACAGAGAGAGAGAGAGAGAGAGAGAGAGAGAGAGAGAGAGAGAGAGAGAGAGAGAGAGGGAGGGAGGGAGGGAGGGGGAGAGAGAGAAAGAGAGAGAGAGAGAGAGAGAGAGAGAGAGAGAGAGAGAGAGAGAGAGAGAGAGAGAGAGAGAGAGAGAGAGAGAGAGAGAGAGAGAGAGCACAGATATCAATATCTATGTAATGTACCCTTTAAATTATTGCCCAAAGACAAAAATAACATTTTCACAATCTTCCTATTGGTAAATTTTATACACAAAAAACTGACCTTCTCCGTAACAAACAATTTTTTAAAAAGCATGAGGAAAATTGAACATGTAAACTCTCTAGCAAATCAAGAGTATAAAAATTTGGTTCGCTCTAAAAGTAGGTGAAAGTACAAAAGAAATACTGTCACATCTGCACATTATTTGTGAAGAAACTGACACAACATTATAACAATTGTTCAAAGTAAACTCCACTCACTTCAACATTTGCACACATTTCAAATGACAGAAAGATGAGGCCAGTGGAAAGGACGAAGGTTGAGGCGTATCGGGGATTTATTTTGGTGCTTTGGAACATCAGCAAAGACAACGGTTTAACAGCAGAACTGATAAAAGAGGATAACAAAATATTGGACAGCCGTAAGACTCGAACCCGTGTCTCGCTACATCATGTCGAGGTGCAACGTGTATAATTTGGTGTGTTTGAAAACAACGATAACATTTTATTATCACTCTTGTGATGTCTTCTGGCTGTGTCACATAATAAATTATACAGCTGATCCTTCTCTAAAGGCCACCTGTCTAAGACAATCACCTGTTCAAACAGCAACTTCCCATTTCCCCCCTTGATTTTTTTCCTTATAAAGACACTGCCGAAGACGTCCACCTGGCTACCACAACCACTTTCCTCCTCGACAACGAGAAGACATCTAGGACAATTTCGACTGTACTCTCAGCCTGTATACAAAACTATCCTGTCTTAAACAGAATGACAGTACCTTAGACTGCACAACTTCAGCAAAGCACCAAATCGCTACACTACCGAGGCTTTTGTGTTTGAACCACTGAGTAGGTCAAAATGTCAATAAACACTTTAAGAAAGGCACCTGTGTTATTTTTGCTCCAATAATCAAAATATTCATGAGTGCTGATGCAATGAATACGGTGCATCAATGTTTGGATAAAGAATGACTTTACACTTCATTCACAAGACAAAGGATCACTTATCCTTTCTCAACACCATCAACAATTACTTTTCCTTTTGTAAAAAGCTATGTGAAAAAGCTTCAAGCATATCAAGTTATGAAATCCTTAGAGGTGAAACAAGTTTTTCCATGATGATGAAAAGTCTAAAGAAAAAAAAATCCCCTAATTGGATTATACAGTATTTTGTATCTGAAGAAAATTAAAATACCGATTGTTCCAGCCTTCATTTTTTTACACGAACCAAATGCATGTTACCAGTGACAAACAATAAGAATAGGGGAGTAAAGGTAAAATTGGAGGTATCGAAAGACTTATTCAAACATCTAGAAAGGACTATTGGAGTCATACATGATGGAATCAGGCACTCGTCAGTTTAAAAGATATAGAGTTACTAGTATCCATCTTGAAGCTTGTCCATTTGTCTTGCTTTGGATGAAAAAAAATACCTATGATCTATTTTGAATAGAAATTGAGATATTTGAGCCTGAAGGAAGTGGGGTCGCCTGGTGTCACGGTAAAATAAGCGAGAAAATGAGAAAACGGTTGCCAAAGTTTAGTCACTTCCAATTTTTTGTGCCTTTGATCAATGTTTTGAAGTTATATCCATTCAAGAATATGTTTTTAAATAGACTTAAAAGGAATAGAGCAAAAAACAAAAATATCAATGAAATTGCCGAACGTGGACAAATGTTTTCTCCTATATCATTGCTGTGACAAGCCTTTGATTTCACCATAATGACACACATTTTATCAGTAACCAAATTAAAAAATACAAGAGAAAAAAACCAACAATCCTTTGGCAGAGGAGGGATAGATAGTGGGGTGGGTGAGCAGGAGGAAAATAAATTCCAGGCTCAGATACACATCTGGCCCAAGAAACCAAAGAGGTGTAAAGCTCCAGGAGGAAAAAACACAACAACAACACCAGTCACCAATGGCAGGATCACAAAGTACAAGAGTTGGCATTACCGTGGAAGAGGGACAGAACAAGAGGAATAACAGTCGCCCACCAGCTGTTCAGATGTATTAAGCCCAAAATTGTGAAATCTTTTTTTACTTGCAGTTTCTTAATCTCTGCATTTGCCCAGGAAATATTTTGTAAAATTTCAAATTCTAAATGCTGAAAAAAAAAGGGCAACACCCCTCCCCCCAAAGTAATATAGGTTAATTGTTAAAAAACAAAACAAGTTTTTTCTCTCTCCTGAAAAACTCTGCTTCCTGGGTTTAGTACATTTGAACAACTTGCCGGAGTGGTGCAAGGTTTTGACTTGGGCTCTTTACTTGAGTGATCGGGATTGGAACAACAAGAAGAAACATGATTGGACACCGCAAAAACCAACTATAGACAAAATTACGGTAAATGATTGTGAACGTATTACTCCTCCATCAACGTAATCTAGATCCGTTAGGAGGCGGGCTGCTTTGACTCTGCCTGTGTGAGCCAGCTTGCGCCGAGCGGGTAAACCAGTACCCAGACAAAAAAGAAAAAGTACCTTATGAGTGAATTTTCCAATGCTGAAATCAAAACTCACATTTTGAGTGCAAGGCAAACAGCCTCACCACAGCACCACACACACACTAGCCGTCAGCAGGGAAAATACTTACTGTGGCAGAAAAGACTTCGTTTGCGCATGGACTAAAGGCAAAGGCATTGATTAAAACCCAGAAAGTATCCTGTCTTGTCTTTCTCTTGTTATTCTCATACGATTTTCACCCATGTACAAGATCGATACAAGACATTTTATGAATTTAAAAAAAAAGAAGACATTTTAAAGGATTTGACAAGTAAGGATAATCTAAGAAAAAATATAAAAGGAAACTTTGACTCGTCATAAGTTGTGCAGTACAGAGGAATAAAATGCACTGATGGTGTCACTCACAAAGTGGCTCAAAAGGAAATATAGCAGAGAAAAAATTGTCTGATCCTACACTTTTCTTTGAACACAAGCAGAGCACAGGTTTTGGTAAGCTTGTTACTTTTGCTTCTGTGATAAGATTCCATCCACACATGATGAGGCAAACTAAGAAAGATTCCATTGACTGTGATAATGTATCATGTTTTCTATCTCCAACGACACAGTTGAGAGATAATTTAGGAGGCTTCCATCCCGCCCATCGTGGCCACCCTTGGCAAAGACAGACACATTAGCTGAGTAAAAGCCAGGACACTTGATAAAAGGAACTTCCCAAGGAAGGAATCAAATTCACGCTTCACATTTTCGTCATTGCAAAATTACGGAGCCTAACCACTACACTACACCATAGATGCTGGTACAGAATTACAGTGGAACTATCTCTTACGGCCACCTGTCCTAGACAATACTTTTACTCTTACTTACTTTTACTCTTACTTACTTTTACTTAGTTTTCTAAGGTAGGCCAGCTCTGCAGCTCTTTCAATTGGTATACTGTACAAGACAATCACCTACATAAAGGACCACCTCCCACTAAGGACCTTATGTTTTTTCTCTCTCCCCATACATATATGTTCAAGATGTCTGTCTGTCTAAAACAACAATTTTTGGT